AGACGATTCCTAAGTTTTTAATTAGAAGTCATGACTGGTGAGGCGAACCTCGTGGATGTGAGGACTACTACTCACTGATGACATTGGGTAATGGTCGCGCTCTGTCACAGAATGACAGAAGTTTAAAATATGGACCACTGGACTTCGACCTTGTGGCTCAGTGTCAGTGTGTTAGCCAAGGGACCGAAAGGGCCTGGGTTCGATCTAAGGTGAAGCGGGGTCGTGGAAGCGCTCTGCTGAGTCCAACACTAGAACGAGACAATATTGGATCGTCCTCTATCACAACACCCGGATCTTACTCTTGCATTAAGGGGAAACTGTTGCTCAGTGCTTCTAACAAACATCGATCTTTGAGGAAAATTGCTTTAAAGTATAGTATTTTTATGATAATCGACAAACTAATGAAAATATTAAGTCTACCATAAGAATCATTAACCTGTTAACTACTTGAATTAGTATTTGCGCATATGTTTAACTGATAAGTTACTTTTTCATATCAACTTTCAAAAACATTTAACTAAGAATAAGCATTGAGGGTACCTCCATCAATCTTATATTAACCAGTTTGAAATTTTGGCAAATTCTTACTATTCTTAACTATGGATTACAATATTATTTAAAACATGAACTCGAAAAGAATAGATAATACTAAGTTCGGTTCTCGGTTGGCAGTCTGGATTTGCAGTAATGATGGTTTATGCTGACAACGATCATGGGTCACCAAAAGAGTCAAACTATTAACCCCCGAGTTGCTAGCCTAAATAATCTTTCTAAGCCAGACAATCGTGGTTTTGGATACAAAAATCACTGAAGCATCATAAGTAAACTTGTCAAGAACAAAATGCTAAATGGTTTCAACAAAAAGAGAAGATGAAACACAATATTTTATGCAACGATGGTGATAAAAAGTATATGGGGATCGACAAAGTAATTTCTTCTGAATATAACATTTTACAGCGGTTTCACTACTTTATAACCTCGCCTGGTTAACTAGTTCACTAGTTACTAGCCGGTCCTAAGCCCGGATAAACAGGGAAGGTTGGGCATAGGGCTAGCAACCCTAGGACGTAAAACCAATCGAATCCCTAAAGAAACTTCAAAACACAAAGAAAATATTCCTCACTGGAATCGAAAAGACGAAATGACGCCGATTGGTGAAACCCTTCGGGAAGCCAGTCGGCCGATGTGTCTTCTCTCGATGAAAGAGAAAGTAAGGATGGGGACATGGAATGTCCGCACTACATATGGTTCAGAAACTTGGCGCGTCACGAAAAGCATTTCCAACAAACTACACACACACACACACACACACACATCAACAGCTGCCACCTACGCTCACTCGATACTGAAGATCATATGGATGGTCAGAATAATGAGAATAAGCAACAGGTAACTCTGGCCTGCTAACGACTCAACCAGGAACCCATCACCAAACAAATATACAGAAGAAAGTGGAGATGGATTGAATTGGGCATACACAGAGAAGACCGATTGAGGACATCACGCGCCAGGCCATGCCCTCAATTTGAACCGAAATGGCCTACGACGAGTTGGGCGTCTGATCTGAGGGTGACATGGAGGAGATCGTGTGAGGAAGAAATGAAAGTTTGTGGACGGTCGTGGCGCCTGGTTGAAGAGACTGTAGAGAAGAGAGTGTAATGTAGGCGTGCTACTGAAGCCGTATGTTCTACTAGGAACCCAAGGGAAAAAAATAATAGTATTCACTGTTTTATGGATGAGCCTATGTAGAAATGATAAAAGTGAACGTCTAAAACTAGAAGAATAAGGCAACTTGCTAGGAAATGAAGTTCGTAACAAAATTACACATTGACCATGCTCTTTTAGCATGTAGATTTCAGGTGTTAATGAGTAAATTTTTTGTATCTTCTCCGTGAACAAGCATTGAATTCATAGTCCTGTTAAAATGCAGAACTCAGTTTCCTAAATTTTTCTTTGAAAAATACTTTGTTGGAGTTGTTTGATTAGAATTGATTAAATAGTGAAGCATTGAAATGATAGTTGGATTACAGTCTCTTCTCAAAACCATGATACTTAACCAGTTTCATACCATCGAATTTTGAAGGGATCAAAACTCGCAGTTTTTCCTTAATGACCCCACTAACTAACTGTTTGCTAGAGAGAAAAATCCAGTATCAACGGAAATAAATGCTTTCTTCGAATCAATATTTTTCCGTAGAACCTTTAGAGGAATATATAGAATCAGAATTATTAAGAAAACCTATTTTTTTCAAAATGAACACGATCTTTCAACATTTTGTTTGGCTTCATGGTAGATGCCAGTCACCTCTACACACAAACACATAATTTTTGGGTGATATATTATCTTATGATGAGAAGCTTTTAAAGACGTGCGATGAAGAATAAGCGTTACACCTATTGACAGATGTTCCTTCAACAGAACATTATGATAATCTTCGACATTTGATGCTGATCCAATAATTACCGTACTAGGATAAATTTAACTCCAGCAAATTGTTCAGAATACACAGAATTTATCAGCTCACTCGAACTAAATGGTACTGCTAAGGATTATTAGAGTGTAATTAGAAGACGAAGTTTATCTGAACAATGTGGTGTGATGTATTTGAGCAATACATTTCGAACAATCCCATCACACATTTACTTATCAAGTTAATTTATATTAAACTGAAGAGTGGGAGGACAAATTTAACAATTTCGACATTAGGGGATTAAAATACAGTAAGATGAGAAGAAAAAGAAAAAGTGACATAGCTGACCATAATCAGGGTGAGAAAATAAAGTTTACCAAGGTAGGTGTAGTTTGTAAAACCAAATTGTTTTAGTACATATACAGGTGGTTGCAATTTATGTGAGACTATCGTTTCTGCGGATCTCAGTGTGCGTGCCTGACTGTTTCTGTATAGATCTTTGAAAGCTTTCTAAGTATTAGTTTTCTCACCTGTTTTGATAATATGTTGAGCTATGGATGAAGAAAGTTGTCTTCCACCTGCCCTTATCATAGACTCACACTCCCACTGTTTTTAAAGCCATTTAAGTACATGTTCTCTCACCCTCAACTCCATGGTTCGATTACCGCTCGCTATGTATATGTGGTCACACACACACATGTAAATTGGTAAACACAGTGGGATGTGACGTAATCTTTGATGCAATGTTTAGGTTTGTGGTGAAACATGTGTTTTGTTTTTTCCACAATGACAAGATTAGCTCCGTTATATGTTTTCTTAATGGCTGATGTTAGCCTACATCTCAAAATTATATTATGCAGCTGCCCTCTTGATGGTAGAGTGATATGGAGGCTTTTCTTAGGAACCGTGTATAGAGTTGACTTTGGTGCTACCTGACTTCTACAACAGTCTATAAACTTGAAAGGATATCCATTTTCCATAAGTGTTCTGGTTAGTAATTTGATATTTTCCTTGTTCTTATCTGATGTACCGATATGATAGATCCTATTAAATGGGAATTTAACTATATCTTGCCGGTATTGGATCGGACAAAACTGAAAATTCAGGTATTGTCCTGCCCATGTAAACTTTCTGTAAACTGATCGTCTTATTGAACATCTTCTCGTCGACTCAGGAGTATGTCTAAGAATAGGAGATGATTATCATTCTCTTTCTTATAAGTCAGACTGGTATGAGTTTGCAAGGTGTTAAGTCTCTTTAGTAGACAAACTGTATCCTCATGTCTCTAACAAATCACAAGGATGTCATCAACATATCTCGTGTAAAGAGAAAATTTGGCGATGAGATCACTAGCTAGATTTTCGGTATGTGCTGTATAAATATCGGCTAATAATGGTCCTTATGGACTACCCATAGCTACATCATCAACTATAGCTAACAATATTATAGGGAAAGGTCAGAAGAGGCATATTCAAACAGCCTTCAAAGTTCTATGCAAAAGCAGTCAGGCACGCATACTGAGATTCGCAGAAGCGATAGTCTCACACAAATTGAAACCACCTGTATGTGTACCAAAATAATTTGTTCTTACAAACTACACCTACCTTGGTAAACTTTATTTTCTCACTAAGAATGGGATCAACCATATCACTTCCTATTGAAATATTCTTTTGACAGTAATCATGACAGCTACTGGATTTTACCATCTATATCATGCGATCAGGTTTGAATCGTACTCGTATTTGAGTCTCTATCAGACTTTAACAACATACATTTTCAGGTTGTCTGATATCTAGGTAGATTCTTTTCAAAGAGGTTAAATAAGGAGAATTGATAACCTCGTAACCAGACTTAGTTATCCGTCTACACAAACAAACGTAATAGTAAGTTTAAAAGTAAGGTTAGGATATCTTTCCTCTTAAAAATCATATCATAGAATGTAATTAATGCATTAAACCTCTATCAGATCTGAGTTTTATTGCGTGAACTGCTTTTTTTCATTTTGCTGTTCACAAAATAGTTTTTCTAAAGTGTTTGTCTAAATGAAATTTGACCATTCTAAAACAAATTTGTTCTCAATCCCTTGTAATCTTACTCAACTAACTTCCGATTTGTACTGGAAATTATTTTTCAATCAAGTCATAATGGTGACATCGTGCTTTTTTTAAAGGCATTCTGTACATAGGATACACTAGTTATATCAATTATCAACCAATAATCAACTTTTGTAGATGAGCCAAAGACATAGGAGACCGGTTGTGACCCTTATAGCTTAGTGGCACAGTCTCTGACTCTAACAATAGGTCGTGTAGGTTAAAGTCTTTGAGAGAACATGAGCTTTTATCAGTGTTACATGCACACTTTTCTGATGAATACTGGTAAGTAGAAACTTAGCTTCAAAACTTCGCGCTAACTCATTCTTAAACGTATAATATTACAGCTGATCTAAAGGTCAGTTCTGTTACTTTTTATATAGGAGATATGATTGGTTTCATTGATGTGACAAACTGCCTATAACAAATGCTATATAATTTACTAAGCAGTTATTATACTTCATTTGTATCTATGTGTTGTTTTATCTGAGTGAAGATTCATCAAATAGTCAACAGGATATATGGCAACCAGAAAGGTCAATTTTTTCATCTGATTCATTCCTGGATCTTCAACTCAACAAACACGTTATAAAATACTTAAATATGATTTCAGATGAGAAATCATTAAATACTGCTGATACTCTAGACAAGTTCGATGAAGAGTCCAAGAATACAATAAGATCAACTATTCTGCAACAATTAACACCATCGTAAGTCTATTTCTTTGTACATTTTGCAATTCAAGGTTATTTCTGTTCTGGCGTAAGTTATGAATTACATGTTAGTGTATATACATTTGAACGAGTACAGTAGGATACAAAATTTCAAGTTCTTCGACTTCGTTGCTTAATTAAAACTACTGTACAAGATGCTTAATGAATAATAAATCTTTGTGATTACACAGTAAGATTGATATTTTATTTGGTCAGTCAATAGAAACATTGCTAATAATGAAATATGAAATTGGCTGCAGACATTTCGGGTAAATATACAACTCGCTTACTGACAAAAGCAGAGTCGACATTGTCAACCTAATGAACAAATATATAAAACCTAAAGGTTGAATCAGTACCATATATCAAAATGATTACAAAAAGAACTCATCAGTAACACGAAGGAGTGTTATTAGTAGACAGCGAATTAGTAAACCCAACTAAATAGGTGATATCCAGATCTAAAAGCACTAGTAACGATTAGCTGTTGATAGGTTTTCGTCTAGCCTGTAGGTAGGTATGTTATTGGAGTGGCCGCGTAGAACAGTGTAAGTTTGGATGTGTCCAAGAGAATCTGGAAGTCAAAAGAGGAAGAGAAATAGTGGGCCGATGACTCAACAAGTACACAGGATGTACTTATATTCAATAATAAAAGATACCTGAAAAGCGGTAGAGGTTGGCAACAAAAACAAGAGGCAGTCTGGAAATCAAAACTGGAAGGTGAATGAATAGGATTTCACAAGCATTACACTTCATAAATATTAGTGTTGATCAAGTTATCGGAAAACCTTACATGGTTAACTAGTTCACTAGTTACTAGCCGGTCCTAAACCCGGATAAACAGGGATGGTTGGGTATAGAGCTGGCAACCCTACCCCGTAAAACCAATCCAGCTGCTACAGAAACTTCAAAGGGCGAAGAAATTATAAAACATGAAAACAAACTTATTCCTCGGTGGAGTCGGAGGGACGAAATAATGCCAGTTGGTGGAAGCATTCAGGAAGCCAATCGGCTGATATGCCTACTCTTCTCTCGATGAAAGCGAAAGTAAGATTGGGGACCTGGAATGTCCACACCATGTATGAACCTACCAAGGCCGTCCAGATTACAAAAGAGATGAGAAGGTATAGCATAGAAGCGCTAGGCTGAGAATATGCGAAAGTAGATGGAATAGAAGTGCAATCTAACTGTCAACTAGAGAGTCAATAATCTACTGTGATATTGTCACCCAGACGACAATCACGAACACACTGATTTTTCGAGTGGCTATCATGATGTCCCCAACAGCATCGAAGGCTTTCATGCAGTAGGAACCAGTCTCCCCCAGGATCATGACAGAAAGGTTCAACTCAAATGGAAGGAAAGTCACAATTATTTAATGCTCCGCTACACACATACAAGTAACGTGCGTCAAAAGAAGAAGTAGAAATTCAACAGACAACTGTAATCAGTACTGGACAAGACGCCACCCAGGATGGCGACATCAAAATCCTAGTGGATGACATGAATGCCAAACTAGGAGTGGACAACGCAGGAAGAGAACTGATCATGGGTCGAGAAGCATTTAGTGAGATGAATGAGAATGGAGAAATATTTGCAGATTTGTGCGCATTCAACGATTTGGGGGTTGGAGGTAGTGTGTAAAAACAAAAAGCGACATGGATTTCACCAAATATAAACCCTAAAAATCACAACGACTTCATCTCAATCTCAAAGAAATGGATACGCAGCCTACTCCACAGACGAACAAGAAGAGGAGCAAAGGTAGGTTCATAAAACTCACCACATAGTGCAAGCAAGCCTGAAAATCAAGTTGAAAGGCTTTAGTATCCGTAGTGTATTGCTATAAATTGGAGAGCTTGAAAAGGTTGGGGAATTGTTGATTAACTGTTTTCCAATGGTGGAGAACTTCTCACTGGTTCGGAAACTCATTCTAATACAAATTGTAGCACTCCGTTCGGTGTCAAAAACTACTTTTCATCTCACGAAATCGCAAAAAGGAATACTCTACTAGCGATAAAAACAGCTGACCATGAAATAACATGTAGTATTCATAAAACCAGTGGATTCTTCGTTTATAACTTCCTTATCTTAAATTATGCAATTCAAAGATGAGTAACACTAGGAACTACTGTCCCGAAAAAAACCAACTCAACGAAACAAATGAAAGATAGTGAAGGCAACCTAGTTACCAAAGAAGAAGAAACAAAGGAAACAATCGCCTGACCACTTCAAAAAACTCTTGAATCGACCACTACCACCACCACCTGCAACTCGTCCAGAAATACCACCGGCAGCCCAGCCACAGAATTACCAGTGAACACAACCCCTCCAACAAAAGCAGAAGTGAAGTTCAGATCTCCATAAACCTGCTGAAATCAGGGAAAGCAGCACGACCAAATGGAATTCCTCGAGAAGCACTGAAACTAGACACAGAGACAACATCGGACGTCCTCACACCGCTATTGCAGAAGGTTTGCAAGGAATGAAGGGTACCTTCTCACTGACTGGAAGAAGGGCTACCTTGACAAACTCGAAAAGAAGTGCGACCCAAGTCTCCGCAAGAACTGGCGGGGAATCATGCTGGTGTCCAACCCAAGCAAAATATTCAACCACATCATCCTGGGGAAACTAAAGGATGCGCTAGCTTCAAAATTACGACCGGAACAGGCTGGTTGGCTGGCTGGCTGGCTGGCCAGCTTCAGGAACAACAAATCATGTGCGGACCAAATTGCAGCGCTACACTCAGCTACGCATCATCATAGAACACAGTATAGAATGCCAGTCAACTCTCTATCTTACCTCAACTTCATCGACTTTGAAGAGAACTTCGACAGCCTCGACCGAGAAGTAATTTGGCAGCTGCTCCTTCAACACCACAGTCTCACTGCCACAAACATTTATCAATCTCATTCAACAACTATATGATGGATGACGACGCCACATGCGAAGTGATTCACAATGGAAAGCTGAGTGACGCCTTTGAAGTGAAGACAGGAGTAAGACAAGATTGCCGCCTTCTATCACCAATCATCTTCCTGATTGTGGTCAACTGTACTGGAATGGACTGGACTGGATCATGTAACAAACTGTGAGTGGCGAGAAGATTGGCATACGCTGGCTGGACGGATGAGAAGACCCCAGAAGAAGGTTTGGATTTCGCCGCCGCCACCGCCGCCGCCGCCTATGATGATGATGATGATGATGATGATTTATGCCTAATGTCTTGTTGCATAAACTCAAAGATCTACAGGCAGAAACCAACAAGTTGACGGAAGAGGCAAGGTAGAGAAGACGGGACTTCCTTAAGGTGAATGTAGAGAAGACGGAGGTGATGAAGATACCCAACCATCAACAACAACAACAACAACAGTGACAACAACAACAACAACAACAACAACAACAACAACAACAACAACAGCGACAACAACGACAGGAACAACAAGCATCAATCACCACCACCGAAAGAAACCTAAAGGAAGTAGTCTCTTTCACCTACCACCTACCCAGGCTGGGCAGCATCGTTTCAACTACAGGTGGCACAGACACAGATGAGGACGTCAAAGCCAGAATCGGAAAGACGTCAAGACAGGCCATCATCAATCTGAAACCAGTGTGGAGATCTACTTCACTACACTACACTACACTACACTACACTACACTACACTACACTACACTACACTACACTACACTATACTACACTCAGCATGAAGCGTGAACAACATCCAGATTTTCAACACTAATTCAGTCAAGTAAGTCAGTGCTTCTATGTGATGGTTGAGAGACTTGGCGGCGAGTTACGAAAAGCATTTCCAACAAACTAACACACACACACACACACACACATCAACAGCTGCCACCTACGCTCACTCGATACTGAAGATCATATGGATGGTCAGAATAATGAGAATAAGCAACAGGTAACTCTGGCCTGCTAACGACTCAACCAGGAACCCATCACCAAACAAATATACAGAAGAAAGTGGAGATGGATTGAATTGGGCATACACAGAGAAGACCGATTGAGGACATCAAGCGCCAGGTCAGGCCAGGCCAGGCCAGGCCCTGAAGTTGAACCGAAATGGCCTATGACGAGTTGGGCGTCTGAGCTGAGGGTGACATGGAGGAGATCATGTGAGGAAGAAATGAAAGTTTGTGGTCATTTGTGGAGTCAGGTTGAAGAGACTGTAGAGAAGAGAGTGTAATGTAGGCGTGATTGTGAAGCCCTATATTCCACTGGGAACCCAGGGGACAAATAATAACGGTAGGTTATATGAAACTGCTTTTGGTTGGTCAGACTGTCCTTAGTTAAAAGAAGGAATAGGTAAAGCTTAGTCTCGTTGGCAGCAGGACTAATAACCTTTAGTTGAATCTGGTCGTGAAGCAGTTTTGCTTTCACATATATTTTACCTCGTGATCTACATTCCATTATGTGATGCATTAACCAGCATCTTTTCGATATTTTATTTTTTACCTTCAATTTTCTGGTGAAATGTTCATTTTAGATTACGGAATTTTCATTGCTTCAATCAACTTAAAAGTATATATTTGGGATAAATAGCATTTCAGTAAATAAAATTCACATGAAAACGGATAAGATAAAAATAGCCTACCCTTAGTAAGGCTTTATTATACTGAATGAAATGATTCTGTATGCATGTATTGGTTAACCAATAGTAACCAGTTCACTTTTAAAGTCCCAGCGAGGAATCTGATTTCATAGAGTAACCACTAGAAAATGCACAACAATCTAAGGAATCCCATAATGTATTGCATTTACGTTGATATTAGATGCACAGAATTACTGTATGGATAAAACTCGCAGAGATCTAACAATTCATTTGAGTGAACAATGAATATTTTTTTTGGTAAGTTCTTCATGTACGTACTACAGTTATATGTAAGTTTTGAGGGATTATGCATCAACAAAACTGACCTTTAACTTATCAGTTTGTTAGTAAAATTATGAAGTTGAGGAGGTCAATTAAGAAAGGTCT